CAATAAAACATCTAAGACTAAAAATGGTACTCCTAGATAGGGAAAACAGTGAAGAAGATGAAACCACCAAGCAGGGTTTTTTTTTCACCTTATCACCATGACCCTACAGCACCCAGTCAACAGGACATCCCTAGACAAAGAGCCAGCCAAAACCTTCCTGAGGACTCCCATGAGGATGGAAGCCCCAGCTCTGGCAGGAGGCAAAGCTGTTCTCCTCCTCCTCCTCTGCATGGAGCAGTGGTGGTGTGTGTGACCCCACGAGCTCCCCACCCAAGCTGACCTCTAATAAAGGCCTTAAAAAGGAGCTGGTCTCCTGGCCCGTTTATTTCACACATCAGCCCCTTCACCTCAGTGGAAGGAGCTGCTACCAGCTGGGATTGGGGTCCCTGCTTCCCATGGGGCCAGGTCAGGGTCACTCACCACGCATTTCCTGCAGCAAAGAGTCCAGCAGCCACATTAAATTCTCTCTCTGGGATTCACAGTGGGCCGTTGTTCTTGGATTCAGCTGCCTGTACAAACTCTCAGTGCCCAGATCCAGACTCGCAATCCTAGGGTACAGAGAGTCATTGCACCAAGGAAAACCATCCAGCATCCAAAGGTAACAGAATTCTTCACTAGGATAGAGTCTGCCAAGAGGAGAGGGCTTTGGCAACATGAATTATTGGGTTAACAGCCCTTTGTGAAGGTTGAGTTCCAAGTGTTACATACTGTTATTTATTTGGCAATTCCTTTTGCTTACCAATCTGCACTGGAAATGTCAAATGCTGATAATGAGAGAGGAGGAGATATTTTGATATTCCCCATGTGTGAAAAGGGCCTTGACTGAGCTGCAGGCAGGCTCTTGCTGTTGCAGCAGTGGCAGAACAAGAATGCCAAACCTATTAAACGGTGTCCAGGTTTCTGGAAAATTACCTTGATGCCACGGGCTAGGATGTGACTTGTGGCACAGCTGTGAGTAACAGACTGAGCTGTAGCCCTGAGGCAATGGTGATTCCAAGTTCTCCTTACAATCCGAGTTTGAACTCGGCTTTTATCTGTGCAAGTCACAGAGGTGACCTCTCAGATTCCAGGTAGATGTTTGAGCCAGCCCTTTGTGCTGGCAGTGCTGCTGCAGTGGATCTGGAAGTGTTGGTGCAGTGTTGCACCACTGAATTACAGCTGACACCCAGGCATTGCATAGGAAGTGGGAAGTTATAAATTAAAGAAGCATATCTTCTTCTCTTGCAAGAAGGGAAGTGACAATAAATCTTTCTAGCTACCAAGCTTGTCCACAACTCAAAAACTTGGTGGGAAACTCTGCTGCCAAAGGCTGCTCCCTGGGAACTCAGCTGAGGGAGGGTCACCAATGTGCATCCGAGACAGTGTTACTGCAAACTGAACCCTAGGGGCTTCATTTCTGATAAAAGCAGTTTTGTGGTTTCCATCGGAATCCAGCCAGGAAACTGAAATGTAAAGGGACAACAGGCAGGGATCTCTCAATCCCTCTTAATTGTGTGCATGTGGTGCCCTCTGGTTTAGCTGGAATAGGGAGCAGCTTTGCAGCACAGGGAGGTGGGACACAGGGGCACAGGCAGTGGGGTTTGAGGTTTGATCCCAGTTATCAAGTGCTATGAACAAGTGTTATGAAGTGGAACATACCTGTCTGTGACCAGTTTCAGATCCTACCAAGAGGATTGCAAAAAAAAAAAAAAAAAAAAAAAAAAAAAAAAAAAATATCATTAGTGTGATTTTCAGAAAGGTCACCTGGCTGAGAAATAGGCAGATCCATGAAGAAAAGCAGAATATCACTGCTTACTTTGAAGAAGAGGAAACTATCTGGTTGCGTTTTTATCTTCTGCAAAGCCTGAAGATTCTGCTCAGCCTGGTCTCTCTTCTGTTCCATTTCTTTCCTCGTGCCAGCAATGACTGCCAGTTCTGCTTCCTCATTACACTGAAGGTCTCTCAGGATCATATTCTTTCTCTTATTAAGCTCTATCCTTATACTTTTAAACAGCTCTTCTAGCTGAGTAGTCATTGTTTTGGTATTGGTCTAAATGAAGAGATAAGAGAAAGGGGCACTGGCTCAGAAACTCCACCCTTCAGTTTACTGCCTCTGCTTATCAGTTAGGATTATATCTGTCCTTTGCACTGGCTTTAGAAGGAAGTAGACAACAAACATCTGCTTAGAATATCTAATATAACTGTGACGTAGTAACAAAGTCAGATGAATTTCAGCTACCAATGTGAGAGCTTGCTGGTACCCACTGAAAATCCCACTTGTAGATATAAGTTGCTTTTCTTTTATTAATCAGGTAGAAAACTTTAAAAATACATAATCTTATGTACAGTCTGTGGGCTGCCAGTCCTGAAACCTGGTCTGTGCAACCACAATACAGGGTGGAATCCCTCAGCTGGTTCCTCCTGTGGAGGAGCTGGAAGGCTGCAATAAAGGTGGGCTTCTGGCAGTTTCTCAAACCACTCTTATCCCTTTCTACTCATCTGCTTCTAACAGTATAGCTACCATCACTTATTGCTGGGAAACTGGGAAGGAAAGATGCTCTAAATTAGCAATACCAACCTTGATCTGATTCTCGTCTTTCTGAAGCTCTTCTAGGGCAGTAACTAAATAACTTTTCGATTCCTGCAGCTCTGTCATGGTGTCGGAGAGTTTAACCTGGCAGAAGGAAAGACAGCACTGAACTTCCCAGCAGGAACAGCTTCAAACCACATTGGCAGTTTGTGGAGCTGGTGAAATGGCCACTGTCTCACTTCCAGGCAGTAAGTGAGCATAAAAAATGCATTTTATCCCCTCGGCCTCAGCTGATTCTGGAGCATTTCAAGGACAGCAGCTGGACTCAGAGGCAGGAACATGGAGGCCCCATGTCTCTTGTATCTGCTGGGACATTGGCTCCACAAAATTTGTGGCAGACAGAGGGATCTCAGAATCACTGAAATTGGAAAAGACCTCCAAGGTCATCGAATTCCAGCTGTGCCCAATGCCCACCTTGTCACTCAGCACAGTGCACTGAGTGCCACCTCCAGTCATTCCTTGGACACCACCACGGATGGGACTCCACCACCTCCCTGGGCAGCTCCTTCCAACGTTTAACAACCCTCTCAGTGAAGAAATTCCTCCTGATATCCAAGCTGAAACTCCCCAGCACAGCCTGAGACTGCGTCCCCTCATCCTGCCACAGGTTACTGGGGAGCAGAGCCTGATCCCCAGCATGGACAGAGCCCGTGGGAAGGACCTTGAGAGGGAAAACTCCCTTCCCATGCAAAGTTCAGCAGCAGTGGCACTCCCAAGGCTCTGTGGAGGAAGGGATTTTCTAATCCTGGCAGGAATATTTCTCAATCCCAGCCGGGAACACCGCAGTGATGGTGGCAGGCCTAGGGCTGGCCCTCACCGGAGCCTCTCGCTCCCCACAGCCTGAGGGACCCACGCTTGTCCCAGCCAGCCCCAAACACCTTCCTCTGCTCTTCTCCTTCTGCTCAGCTGTCCACACTGTTCTGCCAACACACAGGAGGGAATGAAAAGCAAATTCCGGCACAATGCACCAGTCCCTTGCTGTGGCAGAGAGGAAATGGCCGGAGCTGCCCTCACACCCACCTCCATTAGCTGTGACAGCCCCACCGCCCTTCCTGTGGCTTTGCCCCTTTCCTCACAGCCAGGGCAGGGGCCACCATGAGGGAAGAGCTCGTTACCAGCTCTTTGTCGCGTGCCTCCTTCATGGTGATGACCTCGTGGTCCTTGTGGGCCCCGGTGACGGAGCAGAGCACGCAGATGAACGTCTCCTCTCTCAGGCAGTAACATTCCAGCAGCTTGCCGTGATGCTGGCACCTCCTCTCCTCCGCCTTGTCCGCTCCCACCTCCACCAGGACGTGGTCCTGATGGAAACCCTTGGCGTTGTGTTTGCTCAGGTGGGCCTGGCACAGGGACGCCTCACAAACCAGGCAGGTCTGCACGGCCGGCTGGGACCCATCCAGGCAGTGGTCACAGGGAACCACGCTCGCCTTCCCCTTCGTGGGGTCTTTGCCTTGTTGGAGGCTTTCCCTTCCAGCCTGTTGTCCTTTGGAAGCCCGAAAGGCCTCCACGATGTTGGCCAGATTGAAGTTGTTCTGCAGCTTCATGCCGGGCCCCAGGCGGGCCCTGCATGTGGGGCAGGTTGAGAGGCGCTGGGAATTGTGCTGTGTTCCCAGCACCTTCTTGATGCACTGCTGGCAGAAGTTGTGACCACAGGCCAGCGACACCGGCTCCCGGTACATACCCAGGCAGATGGGGCAGGTGAGCTCGGCCTCCAGGCTGCCAGCCCCTCCACTTCCCTCCTGAGCTTCTGCCATGGCTGCAGTGACGAGAGAGAAACGAAACTAAAACCAGAAGCAGGAACCCAGCCCCGAGGCTGCATGCCCTTCCCTTCCAAGCCCTTCCCTTCCAAGCCCTTCCCTTCCAAGCCCTTCCCTTTCCAAGCCCTTCCCTTTCCAAGCCCTTCCCTTTCCAAGCCCTTCCCTTCCAAGCCTTTCCTTTCCAAGCCTTTCCCTCCACCCCAGGCCAAGCAGAGAAATGTTCCCTGTCCCAGCTCCACCCTTCCCCACGCTCTGACAGCCACTTTGGGAAGTTTCCCCTCCGTCTCCAGCAGGGAATGCTGCCCAGTCTCTCCTCACCTCGCAGGGCAGCTTTGCTTCTGCACTGGATGTACAGGATGGAAAGAGGCAGCAGAGACAGAAGCTGCTGCCTTAGGTCAAAGATCAGCATTGGTGCTGCCTAGCTCTGTAGCAGTTAATGTTGTGCTGTCAACTTTTAGATAAAATAAATTGCCATCGTGTTTAGCAAGCTAATCACATGACTTTAATAACATGAACCCAACGCAGTACTTGATACAGCTGAGCAAAAGTAAGCATCTTAATGGTATTTCCATTATGATTAACAGAACAAATAAAAGAGAAGCTCTTGCAGGAAGAGGCAGAGTGTTGTGATATACCCCCATCACAGCAGCCCACAATCCAATTTCTGATATGCCATATTAGCACAGCCTCTATGCAAGGCTCACAGTAATACAAAATAACACCTTGTCCCCACATCACTACAGGAGCTTCCACACACTGATGGCAGCATGGATGGGATACTTCAAAGGGATGGTTCCTGTCTTTATAAGCCTGAAGTTCCTAGCAGGAAGTTCAGTCTTCATAGTCAAAGTATGATTTTTCCCGCACTTTTTCTAAGTATTTAAGCCTTCGACCTAAGGAACACACAGAGCTAATTATGAGACATTTGCAGGCAGCATTCAAACCAGACACAAACAATCCCAAGCTTCCAGCAGCTCTCATTGCTGGTGTCCTCCTCCCAGCAGCTCTGGTTGCCCTGCCTGTCTGGGATGGCTCCATGCATTGGAGTCCTGGTTTGGGCCAGGATTCATTCCAATCATGAGAATTTTATTCATGAGAATTCATTCTCTTGTCAGCAGCTGGTACAGTTTTGGGTTCAGTAGAGAATAATGTTGCTAACACACTGATAGTTTGGCTGTTGCTGAGCAGTGCTTAACCTGAGCCAAGGACCTTTTCTGTGCCTCATGCTCTGCCAGTCAGGAGGTGCACAAAAAACTGGGAAGGAGCCTAGCTGGAGCTGGTGACCTAAACTGGCCAAAGGGATATTCCACACCATAGAACACCATGGCCAGTGTATGAACTGGGGGGAGATGGCCAGAAGGAGCCAACTGCTGGTCAGGAACAGTGGCTGGACATCAGAGAGCAGCTGATGGGGGAGCAAGTGTGCTGTGCATCATTAGTTTTGGTTGGGTTTTTTTCTCTCTCTTCCCTCCTTTCTGTGATTGTTATCATAATGATTGCCACTGAATTTGTATTTCGTTAGGCTACTTGAATGAAAATGAGACTAGTTGAAAGAAAATCCAGAGGAAAATCCAAAGGAATATCCAGGCGTGTTGGAATTGAAATATCCTTGTTGTGTTCCACTTCGAAATGAGTGACCTAAAGAGAAAAAAACACATTATGATTAACAGATAATTGTGGAGATTTGGAGTCTGCCTCTGTCCTGACCTGAGGCTTGCTGCCAGTGAGGGCTGAAGCAACATCCAGAGAGCAGTACCCAGGGAACCCTAATTTCACCAATTCAGTCAGACAAGTGTCCCCCTGTGCACTGCTCTTGGATTGCAGGTTGAGCTTACAAAGCATTGCAAAGGAGTAGAAATATTTACACAAAAAGAGCAGGTTATTTATGTCCTAAGCAAACTGTACCCTGCTGCTGCTGTGATGAGTTCTCAACTTTCCCCTTCAATCAAAGGGATGCCACAGAGGCACTGCTATTATCTTCTTTTAATCCTCCCAGAAAACTCCTGGGACTTCCAAGCCTAGGTTTAACAAGGTGTATTCAAGGAAGGCATGCCCCAAAGCCCTGAATCCCAGGACCAGCTCCCTCTGCTGCACACACATGTGCAAATAAGCACACAGTGTAAGGAATTAGCACTTCTAGAGGTACTCAGTGTAGTCCTTTTTAAAAGACGTTTTACTGACTTCTCCATCTTGCTTTTGCCACATGAAATGAGCACTTACCAGTACGTGCTGCTACAAATACTGGACGTTGTGGCTGACTAAAGGAGGTGTCAAGGTTGACGAGGAATTGCTGGAAAGCCTTCAGAATATTACCTAATGTTGATTCATCCACAGTAACGGGTGGATTTGATATCACCACACCATCCATGCTAGGGACTGGCTTGTGTTCCCTGAAACGTGCAGAAAGAATCATGGAAGCACAGAACCACTGAGGTTGGAAAAGACCTCCAAGGTCACTGAGTCCCAGCTGTGCCTGATCCCCACCTTGTCCCCAGCCCAGAGCTCTGAGTGCCACCTCCAGCCCTTCCTTGGACACCTCCAGGGATGGGGACCCAAACCTCCCTGGGCAGTTCCAATGCCCGAGCACCCTTTCCATGGGGAAATTCCTGCTGCTGTCCACCCTGAGCTTCTCCTGGCCCAGCCTGAGGCCGTTCCCTCTCCTCCTGTCCCTGTTCCCTGGAGCAGATCCCAAATCTCCCTTGGCTGTCCCCTCCTGTCAGGGAGTTGTGCAGAGCCACAAGATCCCCCCGAGCCTCCTTTTCTCCAGGCTGAGCCCCTTCCCAGCTCCCTCAGCTCCTTCCCAGCTCCATTCCCTTCCCTGGACACACTCCAGCCCCTCCATGTCCATCCT